GGGAAACAATGCGGCATTGAAACATGTGTTCAATTTATTTCACCGAAGAGTATGGTCTTAAGACGCATCCGTTTATCTAGAAATGGCTCAAGGATATTCTTCTTTATGGCAGACAGTATTCCACTGTATTAAAAAAAAAACCCACATCTTCTGTATCCATTCATTAGTTGATGGGCATGTGGGCTGTGTCCAAGACTTGGCAATTACAAACTGTGCAGTTATAAACATGGGTGTACCTATATTGCTGTGGTATGAGGCTTTTAATTCTTTCAGGAAGATACAAAGAAGAGGAATAGCTATGTCAAATGGAACCTCTAGTATTCGTTTTTTTTGAGGAATCTCCACACTGATTTCCACAGTGGTTGCACCAGTCCACATTCCTACCAACAGTGGTAAACGGTTCTTTTTCCCCCACACCCTGCCAGCATTTGCTATTGGTTGATTTCTTGATTAACAGTCATTCATTCTGGAGAGGGAATATCAGCATTGTTTTAATTTGCATCTCCCCAGTGACCAGTGATGATGAATATTTTCTCATATATTTATTTGCCATTTGTTGTACTTCATCTGAGAAGGGTCTATTTATTTCAGATGCCCGTTTTTGGATTGGGTCTTTAAATTTTGGGGGGTCTGATTTTTTTCAGTTCTTTATATATTCTAGAATTTAGTCCTTTTATCTATACATACTTAATGCAATCCCAATCAAAATACCAATAGCACACCTCACAGAATTAGAGAAAATAATCCTAAAATTCATTTGGAACTAGAGGAAACCCAGAATAGCAAAAACAACTCTGGACAACCAAGGCAAGGCAAGGGGCACCACAATCCCTAATTTGAAATTTTACTACAAAGCTACTATGATAAAAACAGCATGGTACTGGAGAAAGAAAGAAAGGAAGGAAAGGAAGGGAGGGAGGGAGAGAGGGAGGAAGGGAGGGAGGGAGGGACGGAGGGAGGCGAGCGAGCACAAACCGACCCAAGGATTAATAAAACTGATTAGAAGATGCAGAAACAACTCCAAACACACTCAGCCACCTAATCTTTGATAAAGAGGCCAAATACCCTCGCTGCAGGATAGCCTCTTTAATGAATGGTGCGGCAAAAATTGGATTTCAACTTGCCAAAGATTAAAACTAGACCTACATCTCTCCCCATGCACTAAACTAAAATAAAAATGGATCAAAGATCTAAATATTACAATAGAAACACTAAACCTGCTGGAAGATAAGTTAGATAGAACTCTTAAAGACACTGGCACAGGAAAAGATTTCACGAACAAAACCTCAGTCCCACATGAACTAGCTAAAAGAATCAACAGCTTGGATCTCATCTTATTAAAAAGCTTTTTGCACAGCAAAAGAAATTACCAACAGGGCCGGGGATTTAGCTCAGTGGTTTTGCCACCTGCCTTGCAAGTGCAAGGGCCTGAGTTTGATCCCTGGTACCAAAATTAAAAAAAAAAAAAAAATTACCAACAGAGTGAAGAGACAACCCACTGAGTGGGAAAAGAATTTTGCTAGTTCTGTTTTTTGAGACAGGGTCTCGCTATATAGTTTGGGCTGGCCTTGAACTCATTATGAATCCTAGGCCTGAACTCAAACTCATGGCAATCCTCCTGCCTGAAACTCTTGAGTGTTGGGATCACAGACACGTGCCATCATGCCCAGCTTACTGTCAGAAAATTTTAAACAAGGCACATGAACTTTTCAACGTTGATACAGCTGATCTTCCCATAAAAGCACTTTCCGCCATCTTGGGAGCCGCATGAACAGAGCACCTGACGTGTGACAATGCAGGACACCACTTGGGCAAGTCACTGAGGCAGGCACTGAGGTTGGCCAATCTGTCCCTACCCTCGTAGGAGGAAGACACAGAGCTGCCCAGGGCTGGAAATACAGTCTGTGGTCAGAGAACAGAAATGACAAAGAGGCTGGCTGAAATGAGAGCCATACCCGTAATTCAACGCCACCCATAGGTCACCAAAGGTCCCCGTAGCTTTCATCATCTCTCCCACAGGAAAACCCATTTTCTGAAGCCAGGCTCGTAAGGCCCCATGTTCTTGGTGTCCCTTCTCCAGCATCACTGTTCATCTTGTAGATCCCCCTTTCTGCCTCTGACTTTTCAAGGGAGGCAACTTCCCAAGTTCTTCCCAAAACCTATTCTCTCTCGTTTCAACAACTCTGAAGGTGACATTTGCCGCTCTCCCTCACCACCACCACCCCTGCTCTTCCAGCCATCTGCTGACCCTCACCACCCGAATGCTCCTTTATCTTGCTCCCTCCCTCGCACCTGAGTTCTTGTTTCTGGCACAGGGAAAAGAAGTAACATTTACCAGACTTCCCATACCTGCCAGGTACCATCCTGGGGGCCTTCTATGTTGCTTCATCTAAAAGAAAAACTAAACCCTCAGGCATCCCAGTTACAAAATCTCATTCTCCTCTGGGTCTCCTCTCCCTGCCTCAGCTCCTGCATCTAGTCAGTGACCAAGGCGCAGCAGTGTTCTCTCCCTTTCACTATACTGCCTCCTCCTAGGCGCCTACTGAAACCCCCTCCTCTCACACTCTTGAGCATCTCTTGTCTCGATGAAAATCACATGGGACGACCGTCTTCTGGAGCACAGTGCCTGCTCCAGACCTCCCGCAGCGCCTATGTTCCTCCCAACCAACCCGCTGGAGGCCTGGCAAACCTGGCTCTGACGTCCCTCCCAACTTAACTACCTGCCACTTCCCTGCAAGCCAGCTGGGCCCCAGCCAAACCACATGATTCCCCTTCCCTGATCCATGCTGAACTTTCCAAGGCGTGGCTCATAGTCCCTTCTATCTCATGTGCCCTTTCCTCCCATTTCTTCAGGCCTAATTCTTCTTTCTCCAAGGCCCAGGGGAGCCTGGTGTCTCCTAAACAGGCCTTCACTTTCCCCCCGTGGAGAGTGACTTTGTCTTCCTTTCAACTTCAGCTTCACTCATCTCCCTTGGCACTATTTAATTGTGTCCTCTAAGAGACTGGAATTTCCTCAGGGATGGGGACTGAATAGGCTCTCTCCCTCCCTCTGCCTCCCTCTCCCTCCCTCCCTCTCCCTCCCTCTTCCTCCCTCTGCCTCCGTCTCCCTCCCTCTCTCTCCCTCTCTCTCTCTCTCTGTATCTGATGCACTCTTACATGATATGTATTCATTCAGTACGTATTTTCTCAACGTCCACTACACATGAAGGTGCTACCGCACACTCAGTACATAATGGTGAACCCCCAAAAAAGGACAGAGTCCCTACCTTCGTGTGTTTCCCATCTACTGATGAGATGAACTCACCCAGAGGAGTGTACATTAAGAGACAGCTCTGTACTGCAGAAGGAAAGCATCAGGGTCCTGTAGAAGCACAATGGGACCAGGAAGACTAGCCAAAGAAGAGAGGTTGGGATGAGCACGAAAAATGTGAGGGAAAGTGGCAAAAGTGCTCTAGGGTCCAGGGAGCAGCTTGTGTAAAGGCTCTGTGGCAGGCAAAAGCAGAATCAGTGTAGGTAGAGACTGTGAAGGAATCAAGGGAAAAGTACAAGATGGTTAGAGACATCTCAATAAATGTGTGGAGTGAATGTAAATATGCTAACCTCACCGATTAGGATACTTTTTTTAACCCAGAAGACTAACCTTAGACATATGATAAAACACCAAATACAATTTTTTAAAAATTCTTACCCATTTGAAAAGTATTATTCTCTAAAGAGCTTAAAATTGAGCCTGGCACGGTGGTGCACACTTATAATCCCAGCACTCAGGGAGGCTGAGACAGCAGGATCACCACAAGTTCAAGGCCAGCCTGGGCTACATAGTGAGTTCAAGGCCAGCCTGAACTATATAGTGAGACCCTGTCTCAAATAAATAAATAAACAAACAAACAAACCTGAGTTCTTAGCTAGAAATAGAAAAGCACTCAAGGTTGGAGCCTGATTAAAATGTAATTCCATAATGTTATTTTTTCCTTGAATTAGAAGCTGGCCAACTGACAAGGATAACAGCCTGCTGACAACCCCACATTGGTAATAAGAGCAGAGGCTACCAACCAGCTAACAGCTGTTGACCACTGACAATCTGCACCACATCCCATAGGGTAGATACCATTATTTCATTTGACAGGTAAAGAAAATGAAGCTCAGAGAGGTTAAGCAATTGGCCCACGGTCACACTGGTGAGAAAAGCAGGAGAGTCAGGTTCTAAACCAGAGTGAGTGGCACCCCAGAGCTGAAACACATCCTACTTGTCCTTACAAATCAGCTGCTCTGTCAGTATCACGTCATGTCAGTGCAAACTGGCTGAGACTTCAGGTGTTCACCTCACCTTGCTGCGCTGTGGGTCTAAAGCTACTGAACACTGACAATGCAAAAGACAAAACTGTCCCTGAAGGACACGCGGAAGTTCTGGTGTTAGCTCCCTTCCTAGTTAGGTCTCCCTCCCAGCCCAACTCTTCCTTCAATTTTAATAAAGGAAACTTTTCCAGTTCATTGCAATACTTAATGTCCTGAGAGAACAGGAATTGGAAACCGATGAGTCTCCTTAGGCTACATCCCAGCCAAAGTCAACAGCTACAAACCCCTCTCACCAGGCAGTCATTATTTACAGCACGTCAAACCGGAAGAAGAAGGATCGCAGATTACTGGAAAGCTCTAGCCATGGTTTTCCCAACTCCTGATGAAGTTCTGAGTCCTGTCTGAAGGACAATGTCTCTCTTTCACCATCAACAAATCCTTCCCCAAAGCATCCCTACTCCTCTCTTTCAAATCCTATCGGAAAGTAGCCAGGATGCAACAGTAAATGAGAAAATCTTACCTTCTGGCTGCAAATGAAACTGTCCACCTACCTCTGTCCTGTCCAACCTCCTGAGGTGCAGCCAACTGGCCTAAGTCATGAGCAAGATCACATTAAAGTGGTAATGACAGCCATGCATCCACACTCAAGTCTAAAGCAGCTGGTCTTCTGGTCCTCCCTTCTGTCCTCAAAGACCAAACTGAATGTTCACTTTGGCAGCACGTATACTAAAACTGGAACAATACAGAGAAGATTAGCATGGCCCCTGAGCAAGGATGGCATGCAAATTTGTGAAGTGTTCCATATTAAAAAAAAAAGACAGACCAAACTGAGTAACTCAAGGCTTTGGCAATGCTTGTGGATTTTGAAACAGCATTGCTGAAACATGCTGTTATGGGCTGAAAAGTGTCCCCCAAAATTCACATTCCCAGTACTTTAGAAAGTGACTGCATCTGAAGATAAGGCTTAGGAAGAGATAAGTAGCCCAGTATGGTGGCACATGTCTGCAATCTTAGCACTCTGGGAGGCTGAGGAGGATCACAAGGTTAAGCCCAGCCTGGGTCTGTCTCAAAAAAGGCAGTGGGGCATAGCTCAGTGCAAAGGCCCTGGCTTCCATCCCAAGTACCTTCCCAAAAAAAGAAGCAATTAGGATATCACATAGGTGGGACTTGATCCAACCTGAGTGGTAAACACATACGAAAGAGAGACGAAGGCAAACAGAGGAAAGACCATGTAAAGTGCAGGGAGAAGATGGCCGTCAGCAAGCCAGCGAGAGAGGCCTGGGAAGAGGTAACATGCCAACATTTGGATCTTACTTCTGGCCTCTAGAATTGTGCTGTTTAAACTACCCAATCTGTGGTGCTTTGTTACGGTAACTCTAGCACAGCCATAACACACACTGTCCCATTTGTTCCTATCACCTGGCTCCCTGCCCCACCGGCAGGGCACAAGGAGGCTGGTTTCTCCTCTAAAGCAACCACCCCATGCAACACGGTCACTGATGCTACCTTCTGTCTACGTTCTTGATTACACAAGAGATGAGGAACAGAATCTTCCCTTTTACACATGAATGGAATTAAAACATAGTCAAGCTGGGTGTGGTGACGCACTCCTGTAATCCCAGCACTTGGGAGGCTGAGGCAGGAGGATCACTGTGAGTTCGAGACCAGCCTGGGCTACACAGTGAGTTCTACATCAGTCTCAACTACACAGTGAACCCTGTCTCCAAAAAA